GAACTCCTGACCTCAGGTGATCGCCCGCCTTGGCCTCCCAAAGTGCTGGGATGACAGGCGTGAGCCACTGCGCCCGGCTGGTACTAAACTTGGCTGTGTGACACAATCGCCTGGGGGTTGCTGTAACAGATTGCTAGGCCCACTCCAGTTTCTGTTTCATTTCTAACAAGATGAGTGATGCTGATGCTGCTGGTCCAGGAACTGCACTTTGAGAACCACTATTTTATGCGAAGAAATAGATTTCTAATGCAATAAAGAAGGATCATGCACGTGCGCTCTTCCTGGGTCTCGATTCGAAGAGCTCCGTGGAAGAGGGCTGTGTCCTCAACTGTGCCTCCGCCAGCGGCTTCTGTGGTTCCAAGTCTGGACACAGGGTGGTGCCATGTGCTCACAGGTGTCCACTGGACCTTCCAGGTGGTCCTGGCGGCTGACATGGCCTTGCAGCTCTCCGAGAGGGCGTGCACCGTGGCTGGTCTCTCTCCCACATCCCAGGGGCATTAGGGGCATGTCCAGGGCAGGTTGATAGGTATCTGCTGAGTGCCTGAAGAGGGTGAGGGTGAAGATGCAGGTAACGGGACTACTTTTGGCCATCTGTGGCCTTGAGCACACCTTCTGATGCTGCCCCTGTCCAGGATGGGCCAGGATGGGTCTGGCAGACCCTGAGTCCAGAATCCTGAATGCTCTCCAAGCCCCCGTAATCTCTTTCCTGCACCCCCACTTGGCCACCATCTTGTTCTCTGTGGGTCACATCATTCTCCTTCTATTAAACAGGAGACCTGGGGATGGCGGGGAAGAGGGTCTAGGCCTCAGGGTGGTACGAGGAGAGGCCATCTCGGGCAGCCTTGTTGTGGGCGGGGGCCTCAGGGATTTTAACCACAGGGTTCGGTTTGAACAAGTGGTTCAAACTGGGGCCCAACAACACGGCTGGGATAAGGACTGAAGCTCACTGCTGCAGGTGAGGCCCCGGAAGCAGAAGCTGCGTCCGTGCAAAGGGAGGAGGAAGGTCAGTGCTTGGAAAGGTCAGAAGGGCCGTAAGACCCGTGAGGGGCAGATGGGAAGGGGCTGAAGGCTGTGGCTGGTGTGGCCGTCCGGGCTTGAGGGAGGCCTGCGGAGTCTCTCCTGGAGGGCGGCGCCTCCTCCAGGCATCGCTGCTCCCACCCCTGCCAGCTCCCTCCTCTCTCCTTTCACTGGGGGCATCACCCCCTGCAAGGCTGGGCCGGCTGCGGGCTTGCTTGGAAGCCTCATGTCCTGCAGCACAGTGGGCCTCCCCACTCCCCACCCGCACACACCACCTGCACCCCCGACTCTGCTTAAGCTCAAAAGGGGCAGAGGTGGAGGCCTCCCTCAGGGGCAAGCCTGGGTGGTGGCGCAGCTAGTTCTTACTGTGAAAGATGAAACACCATAGGCTGGGACAGTGATCCTTTGAACAAGCACTCAGGTCCACAGCCTTATCCGGAACTGGACTCCAAAGCTGCAATTAAAGTTTCAGGCGGAAGGGATTACTACAGAGGAGGGGCAGAGCCCCCCACGGCCTGAGGCTGGTGTCAGGGGCCCAGCACTGCTGGAGATAACATTCGGGATTGTGTCTCTCTGGGCTGTGATCAGATCCTGTCTGGGATGAGGCAGGAGGTTTGTGGGGGTGCAGGGAGAGCAGATGAAGGACGGGGCAGGACCAGCAAGGCAGGCATGGTCAGAGCGCTCAGGCCTTGGCGGTGAGCGGAGCCTGCTGGGGGAAACTGACTGCTGTAGACAATTGTCTGCTGTGCGGAGGAGCAGTTGTGGAGACATGTTTGAGGCTGGCCTCGGGAGGGTGAGGAGTGCATGGGCTGGTTGTGGCAGGTGAGTGCCTGAGGGAAATGGAGGCTCACACTGACATTTGGCCTGAACAGCTGAGAGGGGCTGCAGAAGGTTGAAGGGGGCACCACAGGGCCTTGGGAACTTGACCACGAGGTGGGGATAGAGGCTAGTGGTCAACAGATCCCAGCGATTGTGACTGATAAGGAGCAGCTGGGTGCTGGGCCAAGTGGACCAGAGCCAGATGAGGTCTGGAGAGGGTGGGTGGAAAGACTGGGAGGGGTCTCGGGCCATGAGGTCAGGCAGGGCCTGGATGAGGTGAAAAACACAGGAGCTCACAGGCCAGCAACCAAGGAGAAAAAGGCCGGCGAAGACGCCAGAGAACCGGCCTTCGCACGTGGTGGGACAGAGGCCTTGGGGGTCTGGGGCACAGGCTGCCTGGGGCAGTGCACACAGGCCCTCCCAGGGGTGATGGTGGGAGTCTGCACCGAGAAAAGGTGTGGGTGAAACTGTCTCCCAGAGAGCAGGAAAACAATTTTATTAATAAGTGTTTGCTGTGGGAAGGAATGAGCCACTCAGTATCTGCAGAAGAGGCTGGAGACTGTGGGCCCCAAGGAAAGCAACCTGGGGTCAGACAGAAGCCCCTGCCCACAGCCAGCACTCAGACAGCGCGGAGCTTCTTCCCAACAGGCAGCCCGGCATTCTCAGAGGAACAGGCTGCTTCCTCAGACAGCACAAGCTGAGTCACGCGGAGCTGGGCCCCCAACTTGGGGCCACTCCGTGGTAACACATCCCATGAGAAGGTTCAGCAGCTCGCCCAGGCATCCCCAAATGTGAGAATTTTATAAGAGCGCTACATGGTACTGCATGGCTGACACCCCAGATATTTAGGGCTTACTTCAAAAGCATGTCACTTTCCCCCTTGCATTCTCAAACCCTCGCCCTGCTCCTCCGTGGAGCTCATTTTTCACGAAGAAATGAAACCCCTTTCCAGAGGGAGTCGCAGCTCCACACACTGAGAGTGCTTACTTGAAGTCACATCAGCGAGTGCCAGGCTGGGGCTGCTGGTCTGAGGCTGGTTCTCTTCCAGTTCCAAGCAGGTGTCCTTTCTGCCAAGCCCTGTGACAGGCGGGGACAGCTGCAGCTCCCCCTTCAGCTATAAAAAGCCCCAACACCCGAGCAAGCGGAGGACACACCGAGAGGACACGCTGGGGAACCCCAGTTGGACCTCAGGAAGGAGCTCGACCCCAGAACCATGCTGAGGCTGCGCCCTGCCCTCAGGCTGCTCCAAGCCCCGCCGCAGCGTCGGGCAGGCCCCAAGGCGCACATCTCTGCCAAGCCGGCCGAAACACCCACCTCTCCTGCGGTAAGTGACCTCCAGGGTAGCAGCGGGCAGTCCCGAGAACTCAGCCCATTCCCTGGGTTTCAAGGTGACACCGAAGTCCAGGCTGGAGAAAGGGAGGGTGATCACAGCCCTGGGCCTTAGTCCTGCAGTGCCATGACTGTGACGGTGTCTGCAAGCCAGGAAGGGGGTCCTCGCAGCCATCGCCTGTAGGCCAGGCTTCCAAATGGGCAGCAGAGTCAACAGTGGGGAGGGGGCTCCCAGTCCTGAGGCTCTCATCACCTGGCCAGAGATGGGTACTAGGCTGAGCTTGGAGGCCTGGTGAATCCATTGGCTTCATCCCCTTAAAGAGGAAAAGGAGGGCTGCTTTGAGGGTCATATGAAAGCACAGATGAAAACTGAAACCTAAGTTAACTATTTCCACTGCAGTCGAGTACGAATGTCTGTTTTCAGCAGAAATAAACCAAGGTCAAGAAGGTCATCTGCCCAAGGTCATACAGCCAAGACCTGAACCTACACTAAGGTCCCCATCCTAGGCCAGATTTGCTCTTAAACCTCTGGGGCTAAAGCCAAAAGGAAGAATTGGTCTCGCACCTGGCATCGGATTCGGCTTTAGGAAACAGGGTGGGCGGGGTGGGCCCAGGCCGATTCAGGAGGAAACTGGGTGAGGGGAAATCTGGCCGGTGCCTCAGAACCTGGCTTTCCAGGTTCGGCCACTGAGAACACAGGGGTCCAGATGGGGTCTCTTCTGTGGGCACATGTGCACAGGCAGAGCACGGCACTCTGAACTTGACCCATTTAGAGGAAGGCCCTGCACTTGTCTGCATGCACCTTAAAACTGTGCTTGTTTCTGCTGTACGGTGCTGACATCATTAGTACCCCATACACTGGGAAGTCTCCGGGGTTCAGTGCACATCGTGTGAGACTTGCCTGCTCAGCATGAACTGTGGCCTGGCCCAAAGGTCCACGCAGCCAGGCAGGCTCTTGGGCAGAGGGATGTCCAGCCCCACAGACAGAAACCCAAGGCTCCTGGTCCCTCAGAGGTCATCCTCCCTGATGAGGGCTAGAGGCTGCCAGCCATGTTGATGGCAGGGGTTTCTCACAACTACACAGAACTTTGAAGGCAGATGGAGATACCATGGATAGGGGAGGGAGGGGCCAGGGGCAGTCTTTCTCCCAAATCCCAAACTGCAGGACCCGAGGGACAGAGGGCAGGCCGGCAACCTCCCTTAGTGGCCCAGGCCTGACCCCTCCACCAGCCTAGTGAACGTGTGTGTGCTTTCTCCATCAGGAGCAGGCTGTGGGGCTCTCACTCATAATCATCACCTTCCTGGGTCCTGCAGGCTGGATCTTAAGCCACATGGAAGACTACAAGAAGCGCCCCACAGAGTAAAGGCCCCAGTGTCACCGCAGGCACAGGGCTGAGAGACAGCATTAAACCGTCCTTCCACCTGCCGTTCACTCTGTGATTTCTTTGTATACGTGCACCTCCACTCCCAGAAGGGGCACCTTACATGTCCAGTCCCAGGGACGGCTCACGTCAGTACCGGTGCATACCAGGTCACAGATGCCGCTGGCTATTTGAGTGATGAGTGGTGATAAGGATGTGGATGCCTGAGTTGGGGCAGGTATCTGAGACGGCTGGAGAAGGGAGTGGATACCCCTGGGTCTCTCTAACAATAAAGACAGGACCAGCTTCCTCGGTGGCCCTTGGGGCTGGGTTCTGCCCTAGTCTACTGTATGTGCAGGAAGGAGAAGGCCAAGGCCACCCCCACCAAATCCTCCCAAGGTTCCAACTCATGCTTTTTAACCTCCAGGCACAGGCTTGGCCTGGAAGCTAAACCCAGGAAAACAGAGCCATGAGAAGAACAAAGCAAAGGTGTTTATTACAGGAACATTCTCATATCACAATGGCAAAGATGTCCGCAGAGGTGGACAGGGAACGGAGATCAACCTCAGAGTACACAGACTTGACGGCACTTTCTGCCTCATATGCAGTTTCTCTCCCTTATGACCTAAAACTCAGAGACGCCTACTCGCTGCAGGAGAGACCCACAAAGGAGCCTTCTGCCTGCGGCCTGGCCCCCATCAGGGACAGTCCTGATTTTACAGCAAGAAAAGTCCGTCCTTCAGACAGGATTCCCAACCCCTACCCCAATTCAATGTAGACCATCTGACAGCCAGCTTTATTGGCTGGGGAAACGCCTCTCTCAGGTGAGTCAAAGGGGACAGCAGGTAGACCTCAGGGGCCCTAGGTGAGGATGTCATGGGCCTGGTGCTCTACCAGCATCTCCATGCTCTTCACATCCGTGCACCAGAACTCTAGGCGGTCCTTCATTCCCTTGATCTGAAATGCAAATCCGCACATAAGGGGCATTAAGGCACTCAGGAGTCACAGGCCAAGTGGCCAACACCACAGCACCTGATGAGAGCTAACTTTCTAGAGCAGCTCTAATAAAACAGATCCCTCAGCTAGGGGAGTGTGATAGGACTGCCCGGGTTGATTCTTATCACAAAGGACATTAGAAAAAACTTGCATGAAAGAAAGCAGACAAGAATTGAGGAAATCCACAGGATTACATTTCCAGCAAATGTGAGTAAGATGGATGTGAGCTCAAATCGCAGAACCAGGAATGGATCTGATTGGAGCACCTATCTCAAGATTAAAAGGCACCATGAGCACAACCAGCACTATTGTCATAATAAGCTTTTAAATGCAGGGTTCAAATCTCAGGCTTGCATTAAATTAGGCTCTTAGGAAAATCCAACAGCAGTAATTCATTCTCCAAAACCTCGTCTAATAATGCTTTCTTCCTAAATGGCTTCCATCCAAATGAAACTACGACAGTGTAGATACAGCCCCAAAACACCCACACACACCCACTCAATGACATCACCTGTTGCAAATCCAACACTCGGGGCTGCACCCAGGTCATGTGGACTCGTTTGTCCACCTCGTCTATACTGCCTTTCACCAGCCCCACCGAAAGGGCCTTCATCACCAGGAGCTCCACCTGCGCAGAAAGCGGGCTGGTGTCAGACAAGACGGCCTGACACACACCCACGGACCCAGGTGGTGCCCGAAACGTGGATACTGCTTCTCCCGCCGTTTTTCACTGTCGAGGGAGCAGAGTGCTCACACAGAGCCTTGACTCCAGGTGGCAGCTCTGCTACTGTAACATCCTGAGCCTCGGGACCATACCTCATTCACGGTGATTTTAGCACTTTTGGCAATTTCTTCAAAAGTGAGTTGTCTATGATTGGCAGGTCGTGTAAAAGTCATCTGAAAAAAAAATAACTATTTTAAACTATTTTTCCAAATAAAAATGGACTGACTGATAAGGGTGTTTTGTCAACATTAGCTCTGAAAATAAAGATAATCTTATTAGTACCCCATATACTGAAAAGTTTCCTAATATTAGACATATATCTTGTTAAGAACAAGCTTTCAATGCTTAGATAAGGATAATAGCCAATATAAGCCCTGTAGAAATTTTTGACGGTAGCCATTATTCCAGCCCCAAACAAGTACTTGAGGCCACAGTTTGCCAGGGCTTACCGTGGCAAACCAGCAATGTAAGGTCCACTCCCTCGAGAAGCCTAAATTCTTGTGGGAAAGACAGATGTGCACACAGACAGGAAGGGACATCCATGAGGAGGCGGTTGCCCCAGGGCGAGGGGGCAGTGACTTCATTTCAACTCAGATGGTCAGAGAAGGCCTCGGGGGAGCAGTGGTGGGTGAGGGGGTGTTGTCTGAGCCAAGACCCAAGTATCAACTTAAAAAAGCAAGTGTTGGTAAAAGGAAAAGAGAGGTGGTGAAGAGAGTGGTGCCTGGCAGAAGCACCACCCCGAAAGCTCAGACTGTTCAGGACAGGCTTGGAGAGTGCAGCGCCTGCCTGACCAAAACCTTAAACCACAGACATAGTGGCTCCTGGGTGCTTGCTCACCTCCATGAGGCACAACAGCTGAATTTTCCTCAGAAGCTGGGCTTCGTTAGCTGCTAAATCAGGCTGTAAAGTACAGAAAGACAGAACAATGTCATCCATGTTTGTGCTTATCAGTTACCTAACTGGGGCTTTGGGATTCATTCAACAGTAGACCAAACATTCTACATTGCAGAATGCTGAAGCTCATTAACAACTTCAAGTGATAACTTCACTCTTAGGAAATCTGAAGAGTGGTACCTAACTGGGACACTGTTTGTCAAGGCAAGGAATTTACAAGGTGAGGTCTGTATTAATGCTACAAACACCACTGGGCAGGGCCACAGGGTACAGGCATTTCAAGAAGACTGTCCTGGTCAAGGTGCTGCGGGACGGACATGCCCGACGGCCAGGAGGCTTCTGGCGGGTGCTGCCTCCTCAGTCAGCACAGTGCAAGTGGAGCCCCTCTGAGGAACAGCCTCCTCAAGTTCTAGAGACTTGTTCTGAATCAAAAGGGCAAGTTATTAATTTATAATGAAAAATATCATTGTCATGAGAACTAGAATATACCCGTCTCCAAGACTTGCATAATCTCTTCTTACAGTGGATCAAAATGTTACCTGGTAAGTACAGAATTAAACCAAGGAGACTTGTTTTCTTAACTCAAATAGCAATTCATATCCTGACACAGGCAGTGCCAATGGGAACCTTTCTGCCACAAGTACTGGACAGGTCAAGCTCTGCAGAAAGGGCTCACTCCCAGTCTGGAACAGATGCTGCCAACATGCATATCTGAATATTTTTCTTTAAATTGCTATAACCAGCCATCCTCCTTTCTGAGTGGCACATTTTTTTTTTCCTTTTTGAGATATCAATAAGTAATCAGACCACAGTTAGGTCTGGCTGCATCTGTGCCTTCTGCCTCTTCACAGTGCCCCCATCCGTATCTACCCTGCTTTACCATGCATGAAGTTTACAAGTTTATTTTAAACTGAGAAATTTGAAAGTTTCAGAAAAATACAAAAATAACCGCAATTCCTACCACTGTCAACATTTTATTAATATTTACTTCTAATAACTTCATTAAAAACGAGCAAGTCCTTGTTAAGCACCTCTCACTAACTCCCACCTTCCGGAGGCTCCTTCGCCCAGTGTCCACCCTCCGCTTGCACCGAGGTGAACTGACCGTTCTCTCTGCACAAGTACCTGTGCCTCCTTCATCTCGCCCTCTCCCACCCACTCATGTGGGCTTCACACATCCTTCCTTCAGTTCCGCTAACATGCTAACATGTTCCTTCTCCTTTGCTAGGTGCACTGGGCCTGGGCCTCTTCACTCATTCCTAAGGGCACACAGACCATGACCTGAGGTCGCTGTGACTTCCTGGGATTTGGGACACCTTCTGAGACACCCCCTGCACCCAGCATACATGCAGGACCCACATTCGATTCTGTTTTCTCAGAATACCCTCACTCTTCCTCTGTAGCACTGAGTAATACTGTAGCTAACTAAGCACTTAGCTCTCTGCTCCATGAGAGCAAGGACTAGCCTGTCTTGGTCTCCTCTTTGCCCAGTGCCTTCCTGTGTGCCTGGCATGCAGGGAAGATGCTCAATGAACATCTGTTGTATGAGTGATAAATACACGGGGGAATAAGGGCTGGGCATCGTGGGAGTCACACCTGCTGGCCCCAGGCAGTCTTCAGAGTCTGGAACCTCTCGACGTTGCCACTGTTGAAGGCATAGAGGGTGTCAATCAGCCACTGCCGGTCAGTGTTCCGCAGGGACTCCAGCACAGGGTGCATGAGCTGTGAGGACAGAGATCGTCAGCTGGTAACACTTCAGTCTCCCCTTCCCTTGTTAAGGAAGCTGAGCCCAGGGTCAACTTACAAGTTCTCCAAAGTTAAAAACTCCCTCGCCGAGAAGTCCTGCTAGCCCCAGCGTGAAGGCTCTCTCCTGCTGCTCAGACACTATGGTAGCAACACAGGCCCACTTACTATCCAGTCACAATAATCAGTCCTGTTTAGCTTTCAAAATCTCATATAATAAAAAAGTAAAAAAACCACTGTTTGTAAGGGTGTATTACAAAGCCTTGACTTTAGTGACCTCTTCTAAAGTATTGGGTTAATTTAGATTATACCAGGAACCACATACACATGGGTTTTTTGGAAAGAGCATTCATTTATTATTTTTTCCTAAATATAGGTGAATCCTACCATATTTTCAGCTGTGCCACTTCCAACCAGTTCCTTAAATCTCTTACTTGCTATGGCAAGGAATATTATCTGTTATTTATCTTTAAGTTACCCAACCTAGCTTCTTTCAGACCAGAATTAACTTACTTTCTGTCCCTAGACAGCAAGTCCATTACTCTCTGACCACCTCAGTTCCTTTTCTATTTTTCTTGACATATAGTAATAAAAACTGCATCAACACTGTCAGAGCTGCCGGTATACTTAACGACACCAGTGTTTTGTGAAGGACATCTAAAATCTGCTGAAAATTTCTTTTCTGAACATACATTCCTTGCACTTTCCTCAAAACTCATTGTTTGTTTTCTTTCCACTCTCGAATCCTTGGAAGATTTGATAATTTTTCCCCACGGGTCTGGAATTCCAGTTTTCAAAAACAAGGGTCTCAGCTATAGGGATTTCATGTGTCCTTCTTCCTACCACAGGGTAGCGAGTGGGTGGGCTTAGGAAGTGTTCACATCACGGCACTTCCTAAAAAACCCGTGGCTTGGGTAGCAGTAAGAACTGGAGAAGCAGCAGTAAAGGAGCTAGGAGGAGTTGGCCTCATTTTCACATTTTCTTTTAGATTAAATGCCGAAGACGAATACAACATAGAAAGTAAAGCTTATGTATAAAAGAAAAAAATAATAAAAATTAAAAAAAAAGAAAGCAAAGCTTATGCAAATCTTCCCATCTTTTCTTCAAAACAGGATGAATCCATCTGAGTTCTTTTTTTTTTTTTTTGGTGAGACGGAGTCTTGCTCTGTCACCAGGCTGGACTGCAGTGGTGCAATCTCAGCTCACTGCAGCCTCCACCTCCTGAGTTCAAGTGATTCGCCCGCCTCAGCCTCCCAAGTAACTGGGATTATAGGCACCCACCATCAAACTTACTAATATATATATATGGTTTTTTTTGTCTTTTTAGTGGAGACAGGGTTTCACCATGTTGTCCATGCTGGTCTTGAACTCCTGATGTCAGGTGATCCACCCGACTCAGCCTCCCAAAGTGCTGGGATTACAGGCGTGAGCCACCAAGCCCAGACCCATCTTAGTAATCTCTGAGAATGATCACCTCAAGCACCTCATAGCTGCTATGTTTGGAGAATATGCTCCTGTGTGACGTGGACTTGAATGGCCTAGGTTACCTGGTAGATCCTTGATGTCAACACAGCCCAAAAACCGCAGAGCATCTTTGTAGTAGGACGCGTGGTTTCCAATTGTTTGATAGTATTTGCTGGAGAGATCATAGAAACGACTGTGCACTGATGTAACGCCGGGAAGGCTGTTGAGCATCTCTTCAACATCTTCAATTGTTTCCTACACAGGAAGCAAAATCATCTCTCTTTTTATGTTAAAATTTTATTTAATTTTTTTAGAGCCAGGGTCTCACTCTGTTGCCTAGGGTGGTCTTGAACTCCTGGCCTCAAGTGATTCTCCCACCTCACCCTTTGTAGTAGCTGGGATTACAAGTGCAAGCCACTGTGCTTGGCTAAGATTTATTTATTTATTTATTTTTTTCCAGACGGAGTTTTGCTCTTGTTACCCAGGCTGGAGTGCAATGGCGGGATCTCGGCTCATTGCAACCTCCGCCTCCTGGGTTCAAGCAATTCTCCTGCCTCAGCCTCCCGAGTAGCTGGGACTACAGGCATACGCCGCCATGTCCAGCTAATTTTTTTTTTGTATTTTTAGTAGAGACGGGGTTTCACCATGTTGACCAGAATGTTCTCGATCTCTTGACCTCATGATCCACCCGCCTCGGCCTCCCAAAGTGCTAGGATTACAGGGGCTAAGATTTTTAAAGTAATATATTGTGGGATGAAAAGCATAAACCACAAAGACAAAGATGGATCACTGTTATGACATTAAAATGGAAAACTTCATCCAAAACACAGAAAAAGGTACAAAGCCAAGCTAGAGACTGGGGAACAATACTTTATATTGTTACACAGCATATTTATATTAGCATATATAACCCAGCAGCAATTATGATCAAGGAAACATAAAAAGGCTTACAAATCAGTCAAGAGACAAGCAACAGTAGAAAAATGGGCAAAAGACATTAATAGGCAATTGACAAATTTGGAGACACAAACAGAAATAAACCACTAGTAACTGTGAAATGCAAATTAAACCCCCAACAAGGTATCATTTCACTTCCATTAGATCAGCAAGAGTTAAGGGGCCTGAAACTATCAGGTGTTGAAGATATGGAGCTTCCAGAGTGCTTATATGGTGCTGAGGAAGCATACATCTGGGAAAGGCAGAGATGCATAAGCTTGTTATCCGTAGTCTCCTGGTGAGACTGCATATATCCTGGTGAGATTCTGCCCACATACACAAGGGACCAGGAACTGAAATACTTACAGCATTATTGTTTGTGATAGTAAACTAATACAACTTAAATCTCTCCTTTTCTTTTTCTTTTTCTTTTTTTTTTTTTTTTGAGACGGAGTTTCGCCCTTGTTACCCAGGCTGGAGTGCAATGGCGCAATCTCGGCTCACCGCAACCTCCGCCTCCTGGGTTCAGGCAATTCTCCTGCCTCAGCCTCCTGAGTAGCTGGGATTACAGGCACGTGCCACCATGCCCAGCTAGTTTTTTGTATTTTTAGTAGAGACGGGGTTTCACCACGTTGACCAGGATGGTCTCGATCTCTTGACCTCGTGATCCACCCGCCTCAGCCTCCCAAAGTGCTGGGATTACAGGCTTGAGCCACCGCGCCCGGCTTCTCCTTTTCTTTTTCTAAGACAGAGTCTCCTTCTGTTGTCCAGGATGGAGTGCAGTGATGCGATCTCGGCTCACTGCAACCTCCACTTCCTGGGTTCAAGCAATTCTGTGCTTCAGCCTCTTGAGTAGCTGGGTTTACAGGTGTCTGCCACCACGTCCAGCTGATTTTTGTATTTTTAGTAGATATGGGGTTTCACCATCTTGGCCAGGCTGGTCCAGAACTCCTGACCTCGTGATCTACCTCCTCAGCCTCCCAAAGTGCTGGGATTACAGGTGTGAGCTACCACGCCTGCCCCTAATGGAGTCTGGATATACACGTTGTGAAACACTTATACAATGAAGTACTGTATGGGAGTAAAAGCACACTGGTTACACATACCAACATGATGACTCTGACATCTAGCATTAACCCGCTGAACACTTGAGAGTTACACACCCCCCTATTTAATGAAGCACAAGGAAGTGCACGGGCATGAGAGGGAGCCTGGCTGGGGGCGAAGTGTGGTCTGAAGGGCACTGGCGCCCTGACTGTCATGCTGCTTCCTTCGTAAGCTGGTTAGGGCACATGGATGCCTATTACAGCGTTCTTTACTGTGACTTACAGCTTTCAATATGTCTTAATTATTTCAAAATAAAATGCAGTAAGTATGGGTTAGGACTGAGAAACAATAAGCAATAAAAGGTATCGTTTCAGGGCAATGAGGACATGAACACTTTCAACCCTTACGCCCAATATTTTCTTTAATATGATGATTACCAAAGCAAACACAAACACACGCAGGCTCTGGTTAAACAAGGCGGACCAACCACATATGTTGGTTTCACTGCCACCCACATCCATACTTGTCCTCCAAACTGCACTAAAATGAACATAAGACAGACGTAAAAATAGACAGGATACTTCAACAACATTTAGGAGGCAGAGGGAAGATGGAGGAATAGTACATGATGTGTCAGTGGTGTGCAGGCTGACCGTGGTCAGGGAGAACCAGTGTGCTTTGGACTGACTCAGGCCATGCCGGGTCATTACTAGATGGATGTGCTGTGGTAACACAGGGGAGTGTTCATTTGTTTAAGGGCAACAGGCATTACATCAGCAACTTACCCTTAAGTGGTTTGGAAAAAAGCTACACACACACACACACACAAACACACACACACACACACACACAGGCAAAAGTGGTAAAAGGGTAGCAATATGGGGACGGGCACAGTGACTCATGACTAATCCCAGCACTTTTGAAGGCTGCGGTGGGCGGATCACTAGAGATCTGGTCTGGAGTTTAAGACCAGCCTACCAGCATGGTGAAACCCTGACTCTACTAAGAATACAAAAAAATTAGTCAGGTGTGGTGGCACATGCCTGTAATCCCAGATAATCAGGAGGCTGAGGCAGGAAAATCACTTGAACCCGAAAAATGGAGGCTGCAGTTAGCCGAGATTGTGCCACTGCACTCCAGACTGGGTCAATAAAGCCAGACTCCATCTCAAAAAATAGGTCTGCAATGGGGAATTTGGGTTGGGGTATAGGAGTTCTTTGTGTTATTTTTGCAACCTTTCTGTAATTCAAAAATGTTTAAAAATAAATAGTAATGAAGAAAAAGTAGGTTATTTTTTCCCTACAGTTTTAAATAATTTTAAGACAAAGATAAGTCTGTATTATGGTGAGCTCACCTTTGTAACCTGTAGGTCTCCAATGTTTAATTTTAGGGCTCCAATCGCTGTTTTACACAGGATCACTGCCTCATCACTACTTTTCACCTAAGACATCAAAAACAAAAACAAGAAACCTCAGAATATGGGCAGCTGACTAAGGAAGCCAGCTACTTATACATTAATTTAACCTTGATGACTGGAGACTCTGCGGTCTTGGAAGGTCTGGACAGTGAGTGTGGACACAAACTCTGAGTCACATACACTCTAAAAGCAATTGCTCAAATCTCACATTTACCTTCTCACGAGTCTTTTCCAGAAAAGTAAGAGCCACATTAGGATCTAGGAAAGAAAGAACAACAGTCAGAAGGACCATCAACAGACTGGTTTCTACCAACCACGAGACCTTTAAGTAAGATAATCTAGGTTTTGACCATAAAGTATAATGAAAACATAGTATCTGATACAGAAAGCACAAAAGTTCAATCCACATATATTTCAAGATAATTTTAACTAACATTTGGATCTGCTCCTTTATAAAACAAAGTAAGACTTACCAGTCATCTGTCTAACGACATGAAGAATGATTTCTACCAGGGACAAAGGGTTCACCCTGAAATAAAAGCCAACAGCCTTTGAGTACCAGTGAGTATCAATATACTCATTTTCAAAGTAAAAACTGATGAAAAGGTTTACCTGTGTTCAAATTCACTGATGAAGTTTTCATAAAGCTGTGAAACCAAAACATGGAGAGAAATTATAGGATGTCTTTTATTCTGCAAAATGAAGACCCCAAACACAATTTTTAGTAAAAAAGTTGCATCGATGCTATCAAGTTAGGAGAGTGCAAACCACAATGCCCATCACATAGTAAGCAATGCATAAATGTTTTCAGAATGACAGGAGACCATATTAGGGCTTATATCAATTCACATAAATGATCAACAGATTATTGGGCCAGGCACGATGGCTCACGCCTGTAATCCCAGCACTTTGGGAGGCTGAGGCAGGCAGATCATCTGAAGTCAGGAGTTCAAGACCAGTTTTGCCAACATGGTGAAACCCCATTTCTACTAAATATATAAAAATTAGCCAGGTGTGGTGGCACACGCCTGTAATCCCAGCTACTTGGGAAGCTGAGGCAGGAGAACTGCCTGAACTCAGGAGGTAGAGGTTGCGGTGAGCCAAGATTACGTCACTGCACTCCAGCCTGGGCAACAGAGCAAAACCCCATTAAAAAAAAAAAAAAAAGATCAACAGATTATTAAGGAAAACTAGGTTTCTTCTAGCTTTGGGAATTAGACTACTGACCTATAAGAACATCCAGAGAAATGCCTATATTCTTTCTTCCAGGTATTGTAAGTTAAATAGACTAACAGATTGAAATGCTCCCCCAGTTTCCTCCCCGTGGCTTCTGGGCTTGCTGTTTGGACCGCTGTGAAGATGGCTTGAGCTGCCGTGTGGTCCCTGGCTGACCAGGACAAGTTTACTTGTATCTATCCTGCTTATTTAAATAATAATAAGACCACTGTGGAAGGAAAGTGAATCCCCTTAAGTAAAACTGCTGAAAACCCTACAGCTAGAGATTCAAGATGTATGTTCAGCAGCTGGACTAACGTATTTCTTGAGAAAAGTAAAATGTGCTCTAGAGAATGGAATCGTGATGTCCAATACAAAGGCAGAGTCTGGGTTCAGCTCAAACAGGGAGACGGCAGCCTCTGTCTGGTACACTTCCCATCACGTAAGTCAGCAGTGTTGTGTGCAGCATAAACGACACCTAAACCAAAAACAAGGACACAAAAGACGGGAGGTGGTGACCAAAGTCTTCTACAAGGAGAGGGAAGTAAGAAAGGGAAAGGAGAGGAAAGAAGTCACCTAGTCTCAGCATCGAGTATGTGGCACTGCTGTAAGAGACTCGACTGGACAGAAGCTTTCGGTATGCATCATTTACCTGAATTGGGAACCCCTGTGCCTCCCACTTTTATCATCGAAGTTGACAGTAAAATAAATTTGTATCAGAAGTTGGCATCTCAGGCTGGGCACAGTGGCTCACACCTGTAATCCCAGCACTTTGGGAGGCTGAGGCAGGCAGATCATGAGGTCAAGAGATCGAGACCATCCTGGCCAACATAGTGAAACCCCGTATCTACTAAAATACAAAAATTAACTGGATGTGGTGGCGCATGCCTGTAGTCTTAGCTACTCAGGAGGCTGAGGCAGGAGAACTGCTTGAAGCTGGGAGGCAGAGGTTGCAGGGAGCCGAGATCGCGCCACTGCACTCCAGCCTGGAGTCTGGTGAAGTGAGACTCTGTCTCAAAAAAAAAAAAAAAAAAAAAGAAGTTTGCATCTCACTTTTTTTTTTTTTTTTTTTTTTTGAGACGGAGTTTCGCTCTTGTTACCCAGGCTGGAGTGCAATGGCGCGATCTCGGCTCACCGCGACCTCCGCCTCCTGGGTTCAGGCAATTCTCCTGCCTCAGCCTCCTGAGTAGCTGGGACTACAGGCACGCGCCACCACGCCCAGCTAATTTTTTGTATTTTTAGTAGAGATGGGGTTTCACCATGTTGACCAGGATGGTCTCGATCTCTTGACCTCGTGATCCACCCTCTTTGGCCTCCCAAAGTGCTGGGATTACAGGCTTGAGCCACCGCGCCCGGCCCAGATACTATGTTTTCATTATACTTTATGGTCAAACCCTAAAGATGATCTTACTTAAAGGTGTCGTGGTTGGTAGAAACCAGTCTGTTGATGGTCCTTCTGACTGTTGTTCTTTCTTTTCTAGATCCTAATGTGGCTCTTACTTTTCTGGAAAAGACTCGTGAGAAGGTAAATGTGAGATTTGAGCCACATTGGGATTACAGGTGTGAGCCACCATGCATCTCACTTTTAAACAGTATAAAATAATTTTTCTGTCTTTCAATGCAGTTTTTTTGGAAGAAAGAACATTTAAAAATGGATAATGGACCGTACAAGTCTCTATCGTCTGTGTAAACAAAATAATTTTTTTGTCTTTCAATGCAGTTTTTTTAGAAGAAAGAATATTTTAAAATGTATAATGGACTGTACAATGTCTCTATCGTCTGTGTAAACATGTTTCAGATAAATTTCAATTAGATTTGAAATACACATTTTGTTCACCAATTAAGTTAATGAAATAAAATTTGAATAAATGTTTACTAATCAAACGGAATGGTGTTCCTTCAGATTTCAGAAGGTTAAGGCTAATTATGCACAATTATCAAATTTCTCAGCCATTCGGAACTTCAGCACTTCCTCAGACTCTATGCGAGGTACTGCAACACAGACTGTGTGAGACAAACCATGTGTTTTCAAGGAGCTCCTGGTGTACTGAGGACAGTCTTTAAACAAATAAATTACAACAGAGTGAGTTTAAGAGCAAAAAGAAAAAACACACACACACACACACACACACACACACACACACACACACACACACAGAAGGGGATCAGCCAAAGGGAGAGGCTTCAAAGCTTATTGCAGAAGTGGCAATGCTGAGTTTCAAGGAATAAAGAGCAGTTAAGAGAGGTGGCCATTTGGTCTGGGATAGAAAGAAGCTGAGAGAACATTCCAGACAGTACCAAACATGTGCAAAAGGAAGAAAAAAACACATGATGTTTCAGGAGTATTTCTGAAGGACACAGACTAGAAAGCACTGAAGATTGGTCTCTGTCCAGAACGCAATGCTCAACTGGTGGAGACACGTGATCACATTTCTATTTTAGAAACATGCCTAGGCCAGAGAGGACAGCGGGTGAAAGAGACTGAGAGAGGCCAGTTAGAGGCTAGTACTGGCCAAGATAGGAGAGTGAGGGGGCAACAGTGGTGAGGGTGGACGGACAATCTGAGAGGTTCATGGTAACTTGAACCAGACTCACTCAGATGTGGGCTGGTCACAGAGAAGGAGAGCTGACAAGAGATTATGGCTAGGTAACTGGGCCGAAAGAGTGCCTAGTGTGGGCACAGTAGGAGAGGGAGCCTCCAAATGACCTTAACTTTGGATTAGGAGTGCCTGTAGTTCCTCTGGAATATGAAGGTAGAAAGATGAAAACATCCCTGTGGCAATTACATATTCAAATCTGGCACGCAAGAAACAGCCAACTAAATAAAATGCAATTTTTGTCCCGGCACAGGGCTCACATCTGTAATCCAGCACTTTGGGAGGCCGAGGTGGCTGGATCACTTGAGGACAGAAGTTCCAGACCAGCCTGGCCAACATGGCGAAACCCATCTCTGCTGAAACTACAAAAAGTAGCCAGGCATGGTGGCACATACCTGTAATCCCAGCTACTTGGGAGGCTGAGGCATGAGAATGGCTTGAACTCAGGAGACAAAGGTTGCAGTGAGCTGAGATCCACCACCGCATTCCAGTCTGGGCCACAGAGCGAGACTTTATGCCCCTGTCACCCAGAATAAATTACATCGCGGCCAGGCAGTGGCTCATGCCTGTAATCCCAGCACTTTGGGAAGCCGAGGTGGGTGGATCACCTGAGGTTAGGAATTTGAGACCAGCCTGGTCAACATGGTGAAACCCCAACTCTACCAAAAATTCAAACAGTAGCCAGGCATGGTGACGGGTACCTGTAATCCCAGCTAATGCAGAGGCTGAGGCAGGAGAATCATTTGAACCTAGGAGGTGGAGGTTGCAGTGAGCCAAGACTGTGCCACTGAAGTCCAGCCTAGGCAACAAGAGCAAAACTCCATCTCAAAAATAAACAAATAAATAACTAAAATGGCATTTTTACTACAAGTGACTATTTCAAAGATATCTTCCTTATTAGAAGGAAATGTTTGAACTTTCCTGACATCTATTAATCTAAAAAATTACCTTAAAAAAGAAGCCCACTAAGTCCAGAGAGTCAAAATTATTTCTGCTGATTACAAATTCATAAATACTATCCATTTCACACTTATGTTGGCTGGATCCCAAAAAATTTTTAAAGGTTTATTTTGTCCATGTGAAAAGTAAACTCAAATCTGCCAACCTAAATAAACATTACCTTACTGTGAGGTCTAGGAAATGTTTTTGCCATGTGTAGAAAAGTGATTTAAACATAAGAAAGCAAAGGATAGAGATAAACAATTATGAATTATCTACCATGACAATTTAGAACCTTAGGAAACAAGTATTAAGATAGGTCTCAGACCAGGTACCGTGGCTCACGCCTATAATCCCAGCACTTTGGGAGGCTGTGGCGGGTGGATCACCCGAGGTTGGGAGTTTGAGACCAGCCTGGCCAACACTGGTGAAACCCCATCTCTACTAAGAAATATAAAAACTAGCTGGATGTGGTGGTGGGCGCCTGTAATCCCAGCTACTTGAAGGCTGAGGCAGAAGAGTTAATTGAACTTGGCAGGTGGAGGGTGCAGTGAGCCAAGATCGTGCCACGGCACTCCAGCCTGGGCGACGAGAGCAAAACTCCGTCTCAAAACAAAACAAAACCCAAAAAGACAAGTCTTATTTACCATTTTCCCACGTAATATGAAAGATAGAATATTCAGCAAAATCTCCAGGTTTAAAGATGGTTTTAAGTTCCTTTGAGTAGTAAAATGTCAAACTGATGGCTATAAACCACAAGAAAATCTTACAAGCCCAGGTGGTGGGGTAGTAAGGTGGTAAGCTCCATTGTCAGCATATAAAAGTAACATATTCAGGAGAAATAACTCAAGATCTAATTAAAAGCTAGCTATCAGTTACGATGCTGGTATGAATCTGATTCATTCAGAATCAGAGAAAGGCGTCACAGAGTAAGATGTCAGGAAAAGCTTCCAAGAGGAGGCTATCAGTGAGCAAATTTGTGGGGGATGTGTTAGAGCATCTGGGGAAGGCTGTAAAGTGTATATATTTTTTTCCTGTTGAAAACATTCTAAAAGTACTATATTATAGAGGCAGCATGACATTATATAGGGCTCCCCCTCTAATCCACCTACCCTCAACCCAAGTAGAAAAGGTGCTTTATCTTCCACACTACCAAGGACAGAAGTGTCGGGACAAGCAAGCAGTCAGTGTGACTGAAGGAAGGGGTCTAAGATTCCTACAGACAGAAATCTTCCTCATACCTTACCCCACCCTGGGTCTGAACTTTCAGTTTCTGCATAACAGTTTTCTAAAAGTAGAGTACTAAAAGAAGCCTACAAACAGTAAGATACTCAGGTGTGCTGTAAGATAGCACTTTATGCTAGAATTTTAGAAAAAGCCAGAATGTCAGTGTTTGAATCCTCTTCTGCCACTTATCAGCAGTGACCCATGGTAAGTTACTTAAAGTTTTATGTTTGCTTCTACATCAAAAAAGTGAGATAAAAGTAGTACTTATCGGCCAATGTTGTTATGAAGGCTATGTGAGGCACTCAGACCAGTACCTGACATGAAGTGACTGCTGAAGTTGCAGCTTATCCCTATTACTAGCATAAAGCTGATCTTATTTTAAAAAGTCCTTTAGCACATTCATATAATCTGATGTGGCATGGCCAATTATTTACCTTAATGAGACCATCTCCTTGGGCAAAGCACGGATCTTGCACAAAATCAAGCACCTGAAGTGTCAGCTGATGCCACAACCTGAAAAACATACAGCACTGAAGACCTCTAAACTAATACCAGTCACAGACACCTTCAGCCTTGATGGTCTTATCAAGTCACACATACAGGTTGGGTATCTCTAATCCGAAACTCTAAAATCCAAAATGCTCCAAAATCCAAAACTTCTGGAGCAGCAACATAAGGCTTATAGGAAATGACCATTGGAGTATTTCAGATTTCAGATTTCTGAATTACGGATACTGAACAGGTAAGTTTATATCACAAACATTCCAACATTCAAAAAAATACTAAACCCAAAAATCTTTTGCCCCAATTCATTTCATTTCATTTCTTTTCATTTTCAGATGGAATCTCGCTCTGGTGCCCAGGCTCGAGTGCAGTGGTACCATCTCAGCTCACTGCAACCTCCGTCTCCCAGATTCAAATGAATCTTCTGCCTCAGTGTCCCGAGTAGCTAGGATTCCAGGCATGAGCCACCCATCCGGCTGCCCCAGTGCATTTCTGATAACGGATGCTAAATCCATACTAACTAGTCTCTACTGTGTAGTGGAAAGAATGCTGAAGCAGATGTGACAGACCCGAGTTCTTTTCCTGGCTCTGCTACTCAATGGTTCTGTCACTTTGAGATCACTTAACTTCTCTAAGACTCAGTTTTCCCAGGTATGAAATGGAGAACATTGTTCTCCATTACTTCAAAGAATTACTGTGGGGTTTAACTTTGGAACCATACGTATCTAACCTGAGAGTCTGGCTCTTCTACCTGTTAGCTAGGGAAGGCAACTAAAATGAGCTTCAGTTTCCTCATCTGTGAAAAGGATGAATGACAGATTAAATAAGCTGATATATAAAACCTCCAGGACAGTGACATAGCGCTTCCCCAAAACCCAAAGGCTAGTATTTAATAAGGCAGATAAAATGCTTTGAAAATTACCAAGTGCTGTCCAACACAAATCATTATTTGACAAACACTAATTTGCTCTCAAAAACGAACAGCAGAAGGCTGCTGAATGCTAAACATCATCAAAACATGTATGCAACATCTACATGAAACATATTATGTTAAATGCTAGGGTTGTTAACAGGGAGGTTATCACAGGAGATGTATTTTCTATGGACTAGCTCCAGCCCAATGCCAGCAACTTAGTCTATTTATTTTAAAATGAGGTTAGTGCTTAGTAACAATTGCTCTGCAATTCATCCAGTTTCTTTTTTCTTTTTTTTTTTTTTGAGACGGAGTTTCGCTCTTGTTATCCAGGCTGGAGTGCAATGGCGCGATCTCGGCTCACCGCAACCTCCGCCTCCTGGATTCAGGCAATTCTCCTGCCTCGGCCTCCCGAGTAGCTGGGATTACAGGCACGCGCCACCACGCCCAGCTAATTTTTTATGTTTTTAGTAGAGACGGGGTTTCACGATGCTGACCAGGATGGTCTCGATCTCCTGACCTCGTGATCCACCCGCCTCAGCCTCCCAAAGTGCTGGGATGACAGGCGTGAGCCACCACGCCCGGCCCAATTCATCCTGTTTCTAAACAAACCCAAACTTTAAGACCTTTCTGGGGGCACAAAGCCTAGTGGGGACAATGGGAGAGGGAAAGCGGTTGCATAGGGTGCAACCAGCTGCAGAATGAAGAGGGAAGGCAGCAAAGCTGCGCTAGCCTCTGGTTATCAGCTTCAAACCTGCGAAAGATAACTGCAGACACAGTCACACGACGACAAGGCTAAGTACGAATCCCCAAGATCTGTTTCCCAAAGTGGGTGGCAACCTGGCCCTGAAAGCGTGTTTGCTTGTTTCGCTGGACTCAAGAGCTAAAATCGAAGGCTACTCCCGAACCGGTTTAGTCCGAGTCAAGACAGAGGAGTTCAGAAGCCTCAGTCCCAGGGCTCCGCTGAGGAAGCGGCGCATCCAGACCCAAGTGAACACCCCGGCTGCCGCCCTCGGCCCTCGTGGTCTGTCATCCCTCTCATTCCTCGACGCCGCCGCTCGGGGTTCCGCAGCAAACCTCGCCGGCACAGCGCGCCTCACCGCCCCCGTCTCCCCAACCCGGGGCTGAGCGCCCTCCGCCCGCCGGGGGCCCGGTCCTCCGCCCGCCCTCCCTCCGTCCCGCTCCAGCGCGGGGGCCCAGGGCCCGCGGGCCGGCGCTCACTTCTTCGTGTAGAGCTCCTCCAGACGATGCCACACGGCGGGCTGCCCGGGCCCGGAGCTCTGGCTCTGCTGCAGGAACCCCGGTACGTCCTTCATGACAGCAGGAAGACCCCGGGAGAGAGGAGCCGGGACGTCAGCACCGCAGGGACGGCTGCCGGAAATGCTCACTCACTTCCGGCGCCGCGCCGCGCGGGGCAGGCTGGGAGCGCCGCCGTCGGCCGAGGGCGGGGTCCGCCGGGGGCGCGGTCGCCGCGCGTCTCTGCGCTCGGGACGCAGCTCTCTGCCGCGTTTGCGACCCACTCCCCGCGCACCTCGCCGTGTCACTGAGGCGTTAAAGAGTATGGGCGCCTCTGGTCGAACCGGCCACAACGCTTTGTGGTGCCAGCCTTTGTGACCCGGAAGTGCTCCTCTCAAATGAGGACTAGGTGTAAATATAATGCCTGGCTGTGGTAATAGCGCTCGGGAAGTATTAACTGTCACCACCATCCGGGTTGGAAAAGGTGTGAGCGCGGGGTTCGGAAATGCTGGCTCCCGTGTTGACCTCCGGGGCGAGGGCTCAGACCCCAGACTAGGGAGCCGCCTCCACTCGTCCCCTAGGTCTGCCTGGGCTCGTCGGGAGCGTGGCCGAGGGGCGTGGCCGGGGCGGGGCCGCGGGGGCGTGGCCGAGGGGGCGGGGCCGGGGCGGGGCTAGGGCGGGGAGAGCCCGCGGGAGTCGTGGGGTTGCCGGGAACATGGCGCTGTGCGGTTGCCGCAGTGCGGCCGCCCTCCGACTGTGGGGCTCCGTAGCCGTGCGGGCCGAGGCCGGGGGAGGCGTGGGGCCGTTCCAGGCCTGCAGCTGTCGGCTGGTGCTTGGCGGCAGAGACGGTGTCAGTGCGGGGCCGGGCGGCAGCCGTGGGGTCCGTGGTGGGCCCGTGGGTCCGGCGCGCCCTTTGCAGAGGCCTCCCAGACCCGCGGTGCCCAGGGCATTCCGGAGGCGGCCGAGGGCAGCGGCTCCCTGTTTCTCCTTTTCGAGGTATTCTGGGCGAGGACAAGCACTTCTTGCGTGTTCGTTGTCGACACCTCGCCCTCCTTTCCCACCTTGCCGTGTTTCCTTTGCGGCGTGTTCCTTCCGTGCCAACACCCGGGGTCCCCGTCTTTATGCTGATCCGTGGAAGTCTCTTGTGGGAGTTTTGTCGTTTATTTCACCGTTCCCTCATTGAAATACTTTCTAACCTTCAGTTATTGTACATAATGCTGTGGCGAATAACCTTGTTTGCACCTCGCTTTTTACATAAATTCCGCGTACTGGGACTGCAAGGTCCAAAAGTATATGCATTTAACACTTTATCCCTCATAAATGTGCGGTTAATACTCCCACAGGCGTCTGATCATACCTGTCTCCATAGTAATTGCATCTGGGAACTGAGCCTACATGCGAAGAAATCTTAAGGTCCATGGTTGTTAGATATCAAATGCCCCATAATGGATGAATATTTAAGTAGATAATCGTACATTCACTTGATGCTGCCTGACACAGCTACTGAGAGTATTGATGAAGAGTGAGGCCCAAAGTGGTGGCTCACCCTTGTAATACCAGCACTTTTGGAGGCTGAGACAGGAGGATTGCTTGGGGCCAGGAGTTCAGGACCAGCCTGGGCAACATAACGAGATACCCGTCTATACAAAACAGTTAAAAGTTAGCCGGGCATTGTGGTGCAAGCCTGTAGTCCCAGTTATTCCCAAGACTAAGACAAGAGGATCCCTTGAGTCCAGGAGTTCAAGGCTGTGGTGAGCTATGATTGAATGCTCACTGCACTGCAGCCTGGGTGACAGCAAGACCGTTCCTGGAAAAAAAAAAAAAAAAAAAAATTAATAGAAAAATCCTGAAGGGTCTGCTGGGCGCAGTGGCTCATGCCTGTTATCTCAGCACTTTTGGAGGCAGAGGCGTGTGGATCACCTGAGTTCAGGAGTGCAAGAGCAGCCTGGCCAACATGGCGAAACCCTGTCTCTACTAAAAATACAAAAATTAGCCAGGCGGGCGCCTGTAATCCCAGCTACTGGGAAGGCTGCGAGCAGGACAATTGCTTGAAACTGGAAGGCGGAGGTTGCAGTGAGCCGAGATCTCAACACTGCACTCCAGCCTGGGCTAAAGAGTGAAACTCTGTCTCAAAAGAAAAAAGAAAGAAAGATCCTGAAGAGTCTGTGATTCATCCAAGAAGCCCTCACTGAGCTCTTATTCTGTGCCCGACTCTGTTCTAGGTACTGTAGATAGGGCAGGGATCAGGACCGGCAAATGCGTGGAGCACATTCTAGTATCAGTCCTCGCTACCACTGGCCCTGAAGCAGGAGGCATAGGGCTGCCCGTGAGGAGGAGTCTGTTGCATGGGCTTTCTGCAGTTTGGAATCTGCTCTTTGGCGTTAGATTTTTGAGATCTCTGAATTTGTCCTTTGTGTCCTTTGCACAGTGCCCCCCCCCAGGGTGCACCCATGGCTGCCCCTCAGAGTCCCCCTACTCCCCATGAATTTCACACCATGCAGTATAGACTTTAAGCCATACATCTTAATTATGTTCCAGACATTTGAAAACTCCATTTATGTGTTTTTCAGTCACTCACAAACATTGTATTTATGTAGGTGAGGAGTGTACTTCAGGCACCCTTCGTGATACCTTGCCATCAGCAGGCACTCAACAGCAGTAGTAACTTTCATTCCTTTTGTGATTCTCCTAATGGTTCATGTTTAATAGCAGCACAGTATCGGTTTGGGGAACGACCTTAAGTGAATAGATGTCTGACATGCTGTGTGAAGTGGGCATTTAACAGGTGATGGGATGGTTTTAGAGCCAGAGCTTTCTTTCCTTCTTGACAAGTTGACCAATTTTCATTAGAAAACCCCTTTGGAGGTTTGCACTCAGAGAATTGAGTACTCACTGAGTGTACTGAATTATGAAATGAGCAGTTTCCATTAACCTGAATTTTTTGCTCCCAAATAAGTCTTGATTTCTGGTTTATGACTGCTTTCCATGGTAGCCCAATAGTCAGCTGAAAAAGCTGATGATTTTGGGAGGTCTGGAGAGACGTGCACGGTCAATCTCGATGGTGGGGTTGGTGCAAAGGGTAGAACCATGCTCGTTCTTGCTATCCTGAGATTGGCTGCTCTCTGTTTCCTTTGCTGCTTTGTTTTTTTCTGTCAGTATTAAAGGTGGAAGTAGGCCCATATCTTTTACTGTGGGTTCTTCAAGTGTTGGAAGCGGAGGCAGCAATGACAAGAGGAAGCTTTCTCTGCAGGATGTGGCTGAGCTGATTCGGGCCAGAGCCTGCCAGAGGGTGGTGGTCATGGTGGGGGCCGGCATCAGCACACCCAGTGGCATTCCAGACTTCAGGTACTGCCCGCAGTCCCACCTGCCTCCTACCCTCCCCACTGCCCGATTTACTCCACTTTCCTGCCCTCTTCCTTCTCTCTCTGCAGATCTCCGGGGAGTGGGCTGTACAGCAACCTCCAGCAGTACAATCTCCCGTATCCCGAGGCCATTTTTGAGCTTCCATTTTTCTTCCGCAACCCCAAGCCCTTTTTCACTTTAGCCAAGGAGCTGTACCCTGGGAACTACAAGCCCAACATCACTCACTACTTCCTCCGGCTGCTTCATGATAAGGGGCTGCTTCTACGGCTCTACACGCAGAACATCGATGGGCTTGAGAGAGGTGAGCCTTCTGTCCATCTCACTCATTCTTGTTCTCACAGGGAAGGCTCAGGTGCTTGTTTCTGGGGAGGGCCAAGACCTAGTGCTTACGCTTCTTCCTTGGGACTGTTTTTTAGCCAACCAGTTAGGGCTTTGTTCCCAAGGAGAATGTTCTCAGGGTGTTTAAAGGCCACCACTTGCTCTCCTGGCGTACCTGCAGAACTGTGCATTTTGGGCAGAAGTTGACATTGTTTGCTAATCTATCTGGTGTGATCATCTCTTTTTTCTGTTTTTTTTTTTTTTTTTTTTTTTTTCTGAGATGGAGTTTCACTCTTGTTGCCCAGGCTGGAGTCCAATGGCTCCATCTCGGCTCACCACAACCTCCGCCTCCCGGATTAAAGCGATTCTCCTGCCCCAGCCTCCCGAATAGCTGGGGTTACAGATGCGCGCCACCACGCCCAGCTAATTTTGTAATTTTAGTAAAGAGGGAGTTTCTCCATGTTGGTCAGGCAGGTCTTGAACTCCTGACCTCAGGTGATTCGCCTGCCTCAGCCTCCTGAAGTGCTCGGATTACAGGCATGATCCACTGTGCCTGGCCTTCTGTTCTCTTTTAAAAATTGTATTACGGAATTTTTGTGAGCACATGCAAATTGAGAAAAACATAATGAAGCGTCCTGTCCGCATCACCAGCACATAGCCAGTCCTTCTTCCTGCATCCTCACCACCTTCTTCCAAATCCCCAGATTATTGTGAAGCAAATCGCTGACATCATGAATTTAATCTAGAAATAATCTGTAAATACATGAATAGGTATCTCTAGAGGATACTTGAAAAACAACTCTGGCTGGGTGCAGTGGCTCACACCGGTAATCCCAGCACTTTGGGAGGCAGGCAGATCACGTGAGGTTGGGAATTCAAGACCAGACTGGCCAACGTGGGAAACCCTGTCTCTGCTAAAAATAGAAAAAGCTGGGCGTGGTGATGTGCCCCTATAATCCCAGCTACTTGGGCCCAGCTACTTGGGATCGCTGGAACCTGGGAGGCGGAGGTTACAGTGAGCTGAGATTGTGCCTCTGCACTCCAGCCTGGGTGACAGAGAGACTCCGTCTCAAAAATAATAATACAAATTAAAATTGAAAATTAAAAACAACTTTGATACCATTTTCATGCTGAAGAATCTCTTGTAATTCCTTAACATTGTCACGCTCAGCCTGTGGTGATTTCTTGACTGTATCCACATGGTGCCCAAACCAGCGATTCACAGGTCGTGCCGACTTCTGGCCGTGCACCTTAGGGAAGCACTTGATGGGGCCTTTTCCTTACATGCGGTGATGCAGACAGGTGCGGGGACAGTCAGCTCTCCGGGGGCCAGGAGCAGCTCAGCCAGTCTGCAGATGTGTTGTCAGTTAACAAGAGGAGACACCTTGGCTCCAGGGATATGTTTCCTTGCCAGAAGGATTCCCTAGCCTGGAGCCACAGAGGCAGCAGTGGCTACCCCATGTTGGTGGTCTCTTCTCCCAGAGATGCAGCCAGGCAGGCCGTGTGGGAAGGTGGGCACTCCTGGCTGTGAGATGCAGCACTGCTGAGTGGCAGGGGCTTGGGGAGCCTCCTGCTGCTGGGACTCTGGCTGTGCTACCACAGTGCTTCAGAGCCAGACAATAGTGACACAACTTTCGTAAGAAGTTACTTTTTGTCTGTTTTTCTACCAAGCAATTCTTTTGGAATTTATGATATTTGTATCCTCATTTTAACTTGGTATCTATAGAATAGAAAATGTGTACCTAGGTACTGGATGTAAGTTTTTGAGACAGGGCCTTGGTGCTGTTGCCCAGGCTAGAGTGCAGTGGCATGATCGTAGCTCACTGCAGCCTTGAACTCCTGGGCTGAAGTGATCCTTTTGCCTCGGA